GTGGCGGTGCTGTTGGGACATTCACTTGAGTGAATGCTGGCTGGCTGCTACTGTGGGGAGATGCTGCAGGAGAAGGAAGGGAGATGCTGTTGGAGACAAGTGGAGGTCTGCAGGGAGTTAAGAGTGGAAGAGAGGCATCCATAGCCAAAGGCTGGGAGCTTCTTGCCCCACCCTTATGCTTGTGCTGCATGCTTGTGCGTGAGCTGGAGCCGTAAGGCTGCAACAGGCTCGGATCGTGCGGCAAGGGACCCACGACAGGGAGGTGCTGCCCGACGGCCAGCGTGGTAGTATTTGATACACTGAGTGAGGAGGGTGCACCGCCGTGTTTTTGAACGAAGGCGCTGCCAAAATTTTTGTGAGGCGCAGCAGGATCTTTCAATTACGGCGGTAGTGACCGGGGCGTGGTGTATTCGGCAACATTTGAGGGGAAGTGTTGTCGAGATTGCACGACAAGGATGGGTTTTGCCGATGGTGTTTTTAGGCTACGACGGTGATATTTTAGCGGCACGACATTTGGCGGTGTGGCTGTTAGGGTGTTGGCACGTGCGGCATTGGTGTCGTAGAGTCGCCGTTATTTTTTTTAAGATTTCCTGGTGGTGCGGCAGCGACGTGGAACCACTTGTGATCCAATTTGAGATTAAGTGAGTTGGAAATTGAGACTGGGACAAGTGTTGTGAGAGATGTTTGGTGATCAGATGTGGTGATTGGAGGAGTTTGGACTTGGGATCGAGATGGTACTATCCCCGGTGGACGGGTTGCCGTTGGGATTGTAGAGGGACCACGTGGGACTTGTAGGAGAGAACACCCTTTTCTAGGGCTATCTCGCTTCAGTCCTTGTGAGTGGCCGCTTGTGTCCGTGGTGATATTCGAGAAGGACCCGGGTCAATTTTTTGTAGACGGCCACAACTCGTGAGTTGTGTGGCCGATCTTTTGAGAGAAATACTTGACTTTCTTGAGTGAGCCATCTTCAACTTCACTCAAGGTCAGTTATGACTCAGTTCCCTTTCACACTTGCGCGAACCCACACTTTGCATGACCTTGCTATGAATTCAGAGAAAATGTAAAGTGTGTGATGTTATGCTTGTGGGAAAAGTGGGCTGACTTGAATGGGATGTGGATTATTTTCTTGGGTTGTTTCTTTCTTGTTGTGCAGGTAGGTAAAGGATGTATGTGAGGAAGACTTGTACTATGACTGCTCAAGGGAATGATGGAAAAATTTATCTTTGTTTGACTCCTTACCTGTTTGCGTGTCAAAAGAACAACACTGTAATGACCCGCCAAAAACACAAACTGAGAACACTGCTGATTTTTGGGATTTGCCGCTGGAATGAATGCCTTGCTGAAATTCCCGCATTCTGTTGTGATTTCCATGTCTGTGTGTGTGTGTGCCTGCTGGTTTGCATGCCTGTCTGAGTGCTTGTCGGTTGAGTGTGTGTATGACCCGCAAGGGTACTTGTTGGTTGAAGGGCCCCGCAGGGC